TCCACTTGTGTCAATGCATTTAAGAGTAGACTGGACATGTGTCAAGCGCAAAAGCAATGAAGGTAAAAACTGATTCATCACATTACAATGAATCACATTACGATGAATCACATTGCTTATCACATACAATGCATCAAATTATACTGCTCGCGATTTGCGAGTAGTCACATATTTTTCTGTCATATTTTTGTGAATATTTGACTCTGATGTTTTCCCGGAACATGTAGCTGTCGTAAATTTTAAATTTTTCTTTGCATCAACTTATTTCCTATCATCCTGGTACCAACAGGGAGTTCAAAGGCATTCGCCTATCTTTCCCTCAGTAAACTGATACTTATACTGATGAGGGCTGTTTGAATAGAATTTCGTTACCAATGTATTACTGGAAAACGTTAGGACTGTGAGATACGCCTAATGACCCAGAAATACGCGTATCTCACAGTCCTAACGTTTGCCATTAATACATTGGTTACTTAAAGTTAGCGAGTAACATAATTGTTTCGTTGAGTAAAGTGGAAGTGTCCACAGCTCGCCAGACGAAACAAGCCAGGGTTGGTGAAACCTGGACCAGATCGGAGTACACCTATGTACTAGAATTTCGTTAGTTCTAAACGTGTGCTGAAAGCAAGGTGAATCGGAATGATGCTGTCGGTTGTGGGCAAGGCGTAATAATTGCATGTGAGTGCTCCAGATGGCTGCTGAGCAGATAAGACAAGTTTGGTGTTTTCGTTAGTGTAGGTAGCGAAGGACCGAAACCTGCGGCTTGACATACAAGGTGTGGACTAACTTGTCGCAGCTGCCTCGTCAAATGTTTTACCTACGGAAGTGTATCAGGTTCGGCGTAGTCTGTTGGATCGACTTTTACGGTCACTCGGAGCGGCCATGTCAGGATTATTCCGAGGGTTAGGGCTGGTTGTCCGGAAGTAGACACGAAAATGTCCGTCTATGGGTGTCGCGGTAGGTCAGTTTTTACAATTTACTCCCGCGTTTTTTTGTAGAGTCGTAATGTGGACTAAGAAAATTTGCCGGATCCACCGCGTATCACCGGTTGTATTGTGCAGTGCGTACCCATAGTCGGAGAAGTTTACGTAAGCGATGATGACAAAATTTTAGCCCAATAGCTGTCTGGCGAGCGGTCCTTAAAACTTTCAAAGGTTTTTAGAATGAATTTATCGCCTTTAAATTGTTCATCGAAAATTAAACTGTACAAATCTAAGCGTGCTGAAAAAAGAACTTGCTTAAGACCCAATTATGCTGTTGAAGGGGGTGGAACAGAATACCTGGCATTCTGACGGCCTTTTGTTTTCTCACTGGCCATCTCGTCCTCCTCGTCAGCATTGAGCTCGACTTCAGTGCTCCATGGATTTGGTGCCGGGATGCCTGTAAAGGTTTCTTTGAGTCGTGTATAACTGGAAAGGGGTAAAAAGATCTCAGGTTAGTTGGCACTACTTTGAACAGCAAATGAAAATAAGAATACATCTCAGCTTTCGGGGACTTTTAGTGACCCTGTGGCAGACTGCACTCAG